GGTGTTGTGTGTGTGTGTGTGTGTGTGTGTGTGTGTGTGTGTGTGTGTGTGTGTGTGTGTGTGTGTGTGTGTGTGTGTGATCATGGAGTGCGACTTCCCCTTTTCATAGTTGCTCCAACATTCTCTGATCCACCTAGATGTGTATATTATGTGTGTATGTGTGTGCGTGCGTGTGTGTATTGTTTGTGCGATTGAAACGGGATTTCTTTTTTTTTTTAAATAAATAAACTTATGTCTTTCATTAACAGGTCTTTGCATATGGGTCTAAAAGTTGGAAAACCAACAAAATCTAAAAGCCCATTAACGAAAAAGAATGTATCGACATAGCAGAATGTCTAAAGAAATAATACGCGATTTAGAGTATACACCGAAAGATTAAAGTCGACGTTTTTCATCAACAACTTTTTCCTATGAAACACGGTTCAAAAGACGGGTGAGGATTTTTCGAGATTACCTGCTAACATCCAGATGGTCTTGGGAGAAAATCTGCAAGCTTATTCTGAATGCGGGGGCAAGGTGGTACCGCTTTCTCAAAATGAGCAATTTGTAGGCTAGGTTATTGTACGTCATTTGTTGCAGTGATCCTGTGTATACACACACAGAGCGGGGTTTGGTAAAAGAACAAATAAAGACAATTTCATTACTGGATCAACTTTTAAGGTTTTGATCAAATACATACATATATTATATATTACATATACATTTATATTAAAAAATAATAGGGGGTGTGGTCGCTGGTCCACGTCCACAGAAATGCCATGCAAAACTACATGCATTTTGACAGATAATTAATAAACAAGCTAGAATTCTTTTAACACGGTGTGACGAGAGTGAACAAGTTATAGTTGACATGACCAAAAGTCTTAACCTAAAACTGTGAAAACCTGGTAAATCAAAGAAAGGTTTGACAAAACAGAAGAATAAACAATGAAAACTGCGAATTATGGAAAAACGACTTTTTTCAATTTCTTCCATCCTTTAACTTAGCACAGCGTTTGTATAGTTATCCTAATTTCCTGCGTACCTTCCCCAGCCCCTGTGATCATGTCTTCATGCCCTCTTCTGTCTTCCTATTCTCAGGTTAAGCCACGCGCAGTATCTCGGCTCACCCACACGTCTCGTCGCACGCGTGCGTGCCCATGTCTCAAGCCTACTCCTCGCCGCGCTCACACTTCTTCTTCCGTATTTCTGATGTTGCTGCTCACACAAACTACAGCCATGATCGGCGCTGTTGGGACAGCAGAGGTAAGGGGCATCTATGTGGTCATATCTTTGGGATTTATGTGATTAACTTTTCATTGGTGTTGATGTGAATGCTAGTAGGTTAACAAAGTGGATATAATTAGTGTTTGCACTGACCTAGTGGTGTTCCTACTGTTGCTTTTAACTTGTTGGGGTGGCTTTTTGGCTTGTTTGCGTTTTTATGTGGTTTTATTTTATCTTTTTTGTATTTTTTTTTGGGGGGGGGTACAATTATAAACTTTTTTTTCTTCCAGAAGACAATAATAACATTTAACCAAGTTTCCAAAAAGATTGCGTGAGTTGGTGAGAAAACATGCTCAACAACAAATGATCTGCATGCTATACATTATATCGATCAAATCGTACCATTCAAGAAATGCTCAAACAATCTATTCAAAGTCTCTGCTCGGACGCGGAAAAGGTTCCCCCCCCCCCCCCCCCCCCACCCATCCTCAACTTACTTGGCATGTTTCGCACATTTGGGTAATGTGAGAAAGACACTTTTTGAAAACGGACGGCCCAAATTAACTTGTATCATTCAATCTTACGTTGTAGCGAGATATTTCTATCAATATAGCCCCCTTGAAATAAGGTGAAAATTGTCTATATGTATTGGTTTTTGACCGTGATGTTTCAAGAGCGAAAAGATAAAGTGCAGTGAACATTTTGTCTCCAGTTATCGCAAGATTCCAATATTGTTTTCAAATAAATACTAATCAATATCAGGATGGTGATGACATAATTCTGTCAGTCTTAAACTGAATATAGCACTTTACTGAGAGCCCGAGGTGATACACAGAGTCAATATGTCACGTTTTGGGGGGTTTCCGTACTGCTGGGAATCAAATTACCTCGGGTTTGTTTCTGGAAACGTTACTTGTAGTGTTTGCACAGACGGCGTCACCTTTTAGTGCAATCTTTACATCCCAGTGCAATGTAGTGTGACGCTTTATAAGAATTTCAAAGCATGCCTACTGGTATGGGTGCTTTATGAAACAGCATTCAGGAAGTTCATGTTGATTCAGAATGTTTTCATTCTTGATGATGCCTGTGACAGGCATTGTTTGTCGACTTCGCCCGTAAACGTGCTTTAGGTTTATTGTGCCCCGCTTTTATTTTGATCACGGGATCCGGGCTGGTTATCAGTTGTTCTCATTAAAAATAGTTGACTAAACTTTTTGTTTTTCCTGCTGAAACAAAAAACAGTTAATGTTATTTGAATAGATACTGGCCAAATACCTTCCAAGCAGGCGCGGTTCGTCCATAGCGCACGGTCGTGCAGTGTCGCCCAACATTTTTTAATATTCTATTACGTAAAGCACCAACAGACATAAAATAAAAGAAGCAATAAACAAGCACTAGCCAAATATTATATCAAAACAAGGTCCTCGCGGGCGCCGTAACTGTCATTTCTGTGTCTATAGCGCTGTAAAACATCTACTAGCTTCCATGCCAAAATCCTCACGCTTTAACTAAACACGATAGGATATTCAACACCGGTAACCTAACCTATAAATCGCTGTTTGGGATAACCCAAGCGAGGACGACACTCGTAGCCAGTTTGGTGGTACATTAATATTAACAAGCCGGCACATCTCAAATGTGCTCCTGCCGAATAGTGCCGATACATAGCCCACAGTAGGCAGTCTAAAAATAAACGCGATAGACTGTACGTTATTCAAAGCCAAAAGTATGTGATCCTCGGAGCAATCTAGTGGAGTGCTCAAGTGAACTATGATTGGTTCATCGTTTTGCCACTATTTTAAGTGACTCTGTGACCGTGAACCTGAGGGAGGTGAACGTGACATACTTAAGCCACCGTCCTATGGGTTGTGCCTTTGAATGGTTTTGTAGTGGAGTGGTGAAAGTTATTACTGGAGTGTTCAGTTCTCATTCTTTATAAAGGAATTTGATGTTTCGCTAACAAACAGATTTTAAGTTCTAGAAGTCAAAGTGACAAGTAAAAAGAATGAAAATAAAAGCACGAGGTCCTCCCTCACCCACCCAAAGATCCTAAAATTATACACCATCTCTTTTACTATGCCCTTGACAATCTTCAGCCTGCGATAGCTTAATTGTGCACGCCCACTTTTTAGACCCACGAGCCGCCCCTGGTTCCAAGTCAGATCTATCCCAGATACAAGATAGAGAGAACGAGGGACAAGCACTCCAGTAATACATGCATAACTAACTTAGCATAGTAAATATGTATGGAATAATACTTACTTGTTGACGTTTATTCTCGAGGGGACTAAGACAAACGATATCTAGTGATTCAGTTTTCCAACTTTTCCAGACTTTTCCATATTTGTTTCTAATGTATCTGATTTTAGTTCACATTTTTCGCTTAACAGCTTTCCAAACAAAAACAAACTACGCCTGCCTTGAACAGTTTAAAAAATGCAGCATTTCCTTCAATTTTGAAGGATATAATTTTGTTCTGAAAGTTTAAAAAAGGTAAAACCCGTCTTGTATTCCACTATTTGTGGGTTCTTTGCCGTCATCTCTCTTAGATGGTCAACTCAAACCTGACAAGTCAATAAAAAGGTAAATAGAAACATTACATAAACATGGATTGCAAAAGGAAAAAAGGGGGAAAAGATCGATTAAGATGGACCCCAAGAGTTCATTTACCCAGTGGTCGGATTTTCCCGTTTTGCTTCTTTCTTTTGTTTTTAGACTCCGTGTCATCTTTTTCATATAAGGGGTAGGCTGTGACTTTCACCGGAAATTGCCACGAGAAACAGAACTCTGGAAGGGGAAATCTGCAGGCAGAACGCCTGGCGAACCGTCACGTAACATCATCTGGCTACTGTGGAAACTCCGACTTCCAACCTCATCCTACTATGAGCTGCACTGAGATGAAATCCCTGAGAAATTATCGCTTAGGGTCTTACGATGCACACGGGTATCGACCGTAGTCTTTGTTTTGTAACCCCATCTCGAAACGATTTGCACCCTGTTGACTGGGCAGAGAAATACTGATGCAAACACCAGAATAGGTGCAGCTTAAATCATAAGAGAAGAGGAGACCGGTTGTTTTTGTTTTTTTTTGGGGGGGGGGGTGATGTCAGTTGAAAATGGAATTTTGAAAATCTTATGGGTTTTGGGTTTGGGGAGGGAGAGGGGGGCATTTTCTATGTCAAAACCATCAACGTGTTCCCATATCTGTTCCATCTTTCTGTAAACATGAATACTATTTCTCCTAATACGGGGTGCCCACTACGGAAGTAGTGGTTTTAGTTTCAGGCGACCGAGTCGGGCGATCGGCCTGATCCAGCCTCTCTTTTGACTGTCTTTCTGTCTGTCTGATTTCTCCCTTTTGCTCCCTCTCTCTCACTGCGTGTAATTCATTTTGTTATCTATCTATCTATCTATCTATCTATCTATCTATCTATCTATCTATCTATCTATCTATCTATCTATCTATCTATCTATCTATCTATATCTGTTCCATCTTTCTGTTTACATGAACCCTCTTTCTCTCTGTTTGTGGTGCGGTAAAGTGTTGCAGTCATTCATTTGCTCATTTTAAAATTGTGCATAAAATCGAGTATCCCTTAACTACTTTAAACTTTTTAAAACAGAATAGAAACATCTTCAAGCTATTTCTAGACAGTCCTCGTATCCATCTATCTATCTATCTATCTATCTATCTATCTATCTATCTATCTATCTATCTATC